CCTGCGCCCGCCCGCCCCCTCCCACCGGCTGCCGCCCCTGCGCCACCCCAGGGCCGAGGGGTCCCCCGCAGCGGCCAGCAGCCACCGCTGAGGCGGCGAGGGGAGAGCCACGTGGTCTCCCCTCCAGCAACAGCCACAAAACCAAAAAGCCAACATTTGGAGATACAGTGGGGGATGCTTTAAAAAGTAGCTTCTATCAGTCCTGTTTGATTTTCTTTAATAAGTCTGTTCTTTTCAAATGACTTATGATTGTCAGGATTTTTTTCTTTTTACCCAGGGCCAGGGGTCCTATGATCGCATTGAGTTACACAGTATTTTTAAGAAAATAAAACAAGTAAACAAAAAACTGACTAAAAGCGCGTTCAGAACACTTGCAATGTGTAGGCCTATCAGACTGCTTGCCAACAAGGACCGGTTCCCCGGCGGGTCCCCCGGACCCACGGCGAGTATTGCTCTGAGGAAGGACAGGGCGAGAGCAGGGGACGGTGATGGGCCCGGGCTGGAGCCCGGCCGTCCGTTCGCTTTTGCAGGAGAGACTGGAGCGGGCGGCGGGCGGGCGCGGCGATTAACACTCGAGGATGCTATTTACAGCGGCTTCTAAAACGGAGTCCGTTTCCACGGCGCCTTGGCTGGGGTCCGGGGCGAACTTCTCCAGGCAGCCGTCCTGCGAGGCGGGGTCGCTGGGGGCCGGCCGCCCCGCCTTCTTGAGCTCCAGGATGTTCCTGAACGTGGTCTCCAGGCTCCTGGTCAGCTGGAGGTCCGGCTGCGGCTCGCCCGACCCCTTCATGATGTCTGTGTGTAAAACGTCGCTCGGGGGCGAATTCCTGCGAGGTTTGTCCGGGAAGGAGTTGCTACACGTCATCTCCAAGCGAGAGTCGCCGAGGATGCTCGAGTCCGGACACCGAGCGGATTCTCTGCACTTCACAGGGAGGGACCAGGATGGAGGTGCTAACGGAGGTCAGATATCCCTTGTCCAAGGTCACGGCCTTGTTGGATATGAGGTGCGAGGGTTCGAGGCCAGTGCTCTGACTCC